ATCCGCCGCCGAGAGGAGGATGAACGTCAGCGTTTGGAAGAGGAACGTCGTCGTCGGTTAGAGGAGCGCCGTCTGATCGAGGAACGATTGGCCACAGAAGAGCGCAGACGCGAGGAAGAGCGTCAGTTGGAGGAGCTTAGACGTCGTGAGGAGGAACGCCTCATCGAAGAACAGAGGTATCGCGAGGAAGAGCGACTCATTGAAGAACAGAGACGTATCGAGGAGGCACGTCGTATTGAAGAGCAACGTCTCATTGAGGAACAACGTCTCATCGAGGAACAGCGTCTGCGGCGCCAGCGCGAGGAACATGAACAACGACAACTCCAGGAGCGTCTTCGAGCTGAACACGAAGCTCAAGAGCGGCAGGCTATTCAACGGCAACAGGAGGCTCGGATGTCTGTTGATGAGCCTCGTTCTGTTCATGGGGATGATCCTCGCCATCCATTTACTATCGCTTCCACCCACCCTGTTACCCCACAGTCTGTCCCTGCAGTCATTCAACTCCCCCAACCTATTCGACCTTATCCCCACATCATCGCTCCTCGCAAGTCTGATCCTATTCATATCAAGCGTCCAGCAGACCACGACCCTCCTTTGCACATATCAACCTCTGCCCCCTCTCCCTCTGTAGAGGATCAGCGGCCCTCCAAAAAGCAGAGGTATTCAGAGTCTCCGGTATGTTTCTCAATGTGTTTCATATCGACAGAGTTCTAACACGTAATCTTTTATTGACAGCCTCCAACATCAGCCGAGCCTTCATATCCTAGGGTTGTTGCGCTACCCCCACCGATCTCAATCGATTCTCTTCCTCTTCGACCTGGCTCTTCAGCTGTTCGCCGCCCTGGCTCCGGTCAGGGCAGAAAGCAAGCCCACGCTAGTCTTGGAGATGTAGTCGAACGCGAAAAGGAAAGAGAAAGGGAACGCGAGCGTGAGAAGGTCCCAGTGGATGGCCATCGCATCATCAGTCCCCTCGGGAGGAGGTCACCTCCTGGAAGCCAGATTGGTCGCGCAACCGCAGCCAAAAAATCCGATGAGGCTCGTCGTGCAGATGAAGCCGCTGCCGCTGCCGCTATGGCAGATGTGCGAAAATTAGAAGAAACTTATTCCCAGGTCAGGAAGGCTGATGATGCGACTCAACCCTCTGTCTCCCCCATTCGTGTTGAGCCGAGGAGGGTTTCTCAAGAACGTACCCAACCTGTGCCCAAGATCGAAGAACTCACCACCCGCACATCAACGGATGACACATTCCGCAAGACGTCTCTTGACGTTTTGATGAATGATGAAATGGATGTGCCAATTGTGAAAAAAGAATCGCCCCAATCAACTTCTTTCGACTCTCCCCTGCGAACAAGGGAACAATTCAAGGGGGATGTGGCGCTCCAGTAAGCTATTATAACTAGTTCTACACGCAATTACTGATTGTCGTTCGCAGGCCGCCCCGAGATGATCGGATTAAGCCAACATCTGATATCCAGAGCCTCACCTCAAAATCGCATGAGGTCAAGGATAGCAAGGACCGACCTCAGCAGGAAGAATGGAGCCGTGATCAGTTGTTACCCCTCGAACCCCCTCGCTCCTTGTCTCCCTCCATCAGCCCTGTTCTTGCCAAAACACAACCAGAAAAGAAAGTACCCACTCCCCCGGCAGAAACACCCAAACCGACCATTGCCCTTCGCAGTGTTTCGCCCGATGCTGATGCCGCACTCGAACGTGAGCTCGCGGAGCTTATGGCAGAGGCAGACGAGCCCGCTCCTGTTCACAAACATGAGCAAGACGATATGGACATCGATCATTTTGTCGCTGAAATTCTGGATGAGGATGACAAGTCAAAGATTGCTCCTATGGAGGTAGATGGACAAGATGACGTCGAGGATGAGTTGTTGAGCCTCCTGGATGACCGACCGCCCGCGCCACCGGCCACCACCCGGAAAGTGGCCACTCCAACCATTCCGGCTCCTCCATTCAAGTTCTCGTCCCTGAAGACCAATGCTGATGAGCTCAAACGTACTTCTCCACCTGCGCCTGCACTGTCAGCCACTTCCCCGGCTCCGACACCGCCCATTGTGAGGCCCCCTTCGACACACCCTGTGTCTGATCGCGCATCTATGCCTCCTCCTTCAGCGGCACCTCGTGGAAAAGACAAGGAGGAAGAGTCGTTGAAGAAGGGTGATGCTATAAGTGCCAAGAAGAAAAAGGATCCCGGTAGTAAGGTAAGTTTTTTTTTAATACATATCAAGGGTGGTGTGGTAACCTATGATACCAGGTTACGGCGAAAGCCAAAGCAACGACAGCTGTTTCCAGTGACGCCCGGACAGCTGCTTCAAACAACAAACAGCAGAAGTCGAAGGCCACCGCGACGAAGAAGGGCAAGGCAACCGATGCCACAACTGCTAGCGCCGTCCCTGCTCTAGCTCCCGTGACAGAGACAAAAATGGCTGCAAAACACACAAAGTCTTCAACCGCCGCCAGTAAAAAGTCCGCCGCTGTCAATAACATTACCGCGTCCCGCTCTCGTTCTACATCGGCTATGCCCGCAGGATCCGTTGATCCCGAACCAGAGCGAAAGTCGGAAGAGAAGGAGGACGAGGAGAGCGAGGCTGTTGACGACAAGCTCTATTGTGTTTGCAAGACCAAGTATGATGAGGATCGTTTCATGATTGCTTGTGACCGGTTCGTCATTCACTTGGGTTGATTTATTTCCGCGCTGACGTGATTTACATACAGTTGTGATGAATGGTATCATACGGCATGCGTCAACATGCCAGATCTTGAAGTTGAGCTGGTTGACCAGTTCTTTTGCCCACCATGCCTTGAACGTGAGTCTAAATTTGCCCTCTCTCATATCAATGTGCCTGACATATTTGTGCCAATAGAAAACCCTCATCTTCACCTCAAAACGACATACAAGCAACGATGCCTCAACGGGCTTCGGCACCCGGACCCCGATTCTTCCAAGGCATGCCATAAGCCCGCTCGTGGTGCCATCTCCAAGTACTGTTCAGACGAATGTGGGGTCAAATATATGCAATCCCGTATTGACGCCTGGGCAAAAAAGGGAGGGAAAAAAGAGGAGCTTTGGGAGAACGTCAAGCACGCTGAAAAACGCGAGGGTGTTGCCGTTTGCGTTGACGAGAGGATCAGAACCGAGTTGGACAAGAAGAAGAAGAAGCAGACCAAGGTCGACCGTGAGACGGAGCGTCTCCAGGGGCTTTTGAGTCAAGTTGTGAGGATGCGGGAGGAGATTAAGAATAGTATGGAAGTCCTTGCGTGGCGTGAGCGGTTACTGCAGCTCGCGAGCGAACGGGCGGAGCATATTGATCAGTGTGGATGGGACCAGCGGCTGTGTTTTGGCGATGAGGAGTGGCTGGACTTTGGCGGTGGCGTCCTGGAGAGTTATGACGATGTCAAAGCGATGAAGGACGAGGTACAGGAGGACGGGGAAGAGGAAGGTGAATGGTGGTGCCCTGGACAGAAATCTTGCAAGCGCCATAATGGGTATGTGTTTTCACCCTTCTATTACTAATTTAGTCCTGACATGCACGTCTTTGTAGTTGGCAAACACTCCGTTATAAGGATATCTGCAAGGAGCGGGAGAAGAAGGAGGAACTCTTAACGAAGTTGACGACCCGTGAACGCCAATTGCGCAAGCGCATAGAAGACCTTACAGACCCCAGTGGCCGCAAGCCCAACGACTCGACTTCCCACATTCCCTTAAAATCATCTAATACCAAGTTATCGAATGGACACACGAAATCAAAAGGCATGGCTGAAACATTTAAGAAGGGCAAAAAACGCAAGGCTCCTGCATCATGAAACTTTGTATCCTTATGGCTCTTGACATTTTTATCTCTTTTGGGTCTTGGTGGTTCTTTTTCAACAGACCTTTTTTGACTGTTACCTTACGCCATTCGACTTTTTGTTGTTAAAATCCCGGCCTCACTGGCTTTCGTTCTCGTGTGTATTGTTTACATATGTCTTGTTCTGTAGCTACAGTGACATGAAAACCGTATGGTATATACTGCAAGGTGTTGGAACATTTTCTGCTCCCTAGTGTCATGGGTCAGGTAGTGAGTGGTTGCTGCGCAACTGGCGGACTCGATCGGCCCTTGGAGAGAAGAGAAAAGAAAATTATAATCAGTAACCGTCCCCCTCGCCACCCTCCTTGCTGAAGCCCTTGGTGTCGTAGAGGAACTTGGCTTTCGCCTCCTCATGCTGTTTCTTGAGCTCGATATCGTTTTTCACGTATGGCTCCAGTACGCGGTAGTCGACCTGTCGGAGAGGGATGTCATCTTCTTTGTCTAGGTCCTGGTACAGCGTTTAGAAACAGTCGTCATAACATGATGGTGAAACGTGCAATTTCTCCCAGCAAGACCACGTTCTCTCCTCTAATGAGAAATAGGCCGTGCCAGTTCTCAGCAAACGTATCCCCGTGGTGTATACGCTCGACTGTATCTTCGAGAACAAGATTCGCTATAGATGGAGTATATCACAATCAGCCTTCTGCTAAGGGGATTATCTAGTAAAGCACAATACGCACCAAACTGATCATAAGATCGCAGGACGCCGTGCAGCTTTCGACCATCCCGGAGAATGACAAGCATCTTTCCTGAGTCAGGACAGATTGGGCGAGTCGCATGAAGCGGGGGAAGTAAGAGAGGGAGGGGTATGGTGCTCAGGATATGTTGGAGAGGGTGTGCATTGAGGTAGTAGACGTACTGTCCACACAATCCATCAGAGCGCCTGAAGTGGTAAAGGGGATTAAGGAATCCATTGGTGTTAGATCGTGGTTGTGAACAGGGATAGGATTTTCTTGGGTCTGATGGCCTTCAAGATATGGACCACTAATCAATTTTGTGGTTGTTGCTGGAAGCTGCTGTGCCGCAAGAGAAGCCTAGTGTTATGAAAGAGGTGTTGTTCAAGAAAGAACCAAACCAGTGTTTCATTCCTGAAATGGGTGGGTGCCAATACTCATTGATCCAAGTGGTGGCTTAGATCGACGAGCTGGAATGGCCGAGTCGTTAAGGCGAGTGATTTGAATAATCAAACATATCACTTGGTGTTTCACCGCGTAGGTTCAAATCCTGCTTCCAGCGAATTTTTTGAACTTTTTTAGATTGTGACATTCGTCGCCCGTCTGTTCTATTCATTAAGCATTCCTTCAGTTGAGTGATCTGTTGTGGTATCAGGTTGCCCGCCTCGCAAGGAACGCATAAAAATGGATCAACGCGTCCAGAAACTCATAGTGTATATGTGGTCTACAGCAGCAGTGTAGTCTCTATGGTATACGTCTGAGGCGAGACGTCCATATCTCCTCACGATGATGCCTTTCCAAAATACTCCCATTGACCAGGTTCAGGAGCTTCCTCAAGGTCTTCCCAACTGGACAAAGCGACTGATATGAGAGATGTTGGAAAAGCCATTAGCATGTCACGTACGCTTTCCATTCCACCATCTTTTGTGCAAGCTCCAACTCATCGGAGGCGATGTCCAATGACTCCTCTATCTGACCCTCGTTGAGCTTCTTCTCCGCAGCGAAAATGTCGCCATTGGCCGCCTGGACAATGTTGAGTTTGTGCCGTGTGAGGGCTTCTGTACCCTGGCGATACACGGAGGTTTGCGGAATGGTGGAGAGGATAGAGAGGGTGGATTCGTAGGTCTTTGCGAGTTCTGGGAGGGGGTTCTGGTGGACGGCGAGCCCGGTGATTCCAGTAGTCTTTTTGAGGACCTGGTAGAGAGGGCGTGTGAGGCGGAACATTGGTACTAATAGAAGACTGAGTGTTGCGAGTGAGTGATGACGCCCTGTCCTGATCACGCGTCGGAGTACAAATTTTTCTAACTTGAAGCTTGTCTCCCCGCCGCGTCTCCTAAGTCCTTGCACCATGGCTGCCCTGCTCACCCGCACGCCCAGTGCACTCAACTTTCGCCAGTTCTTCACCACTGGCGCTGTCTTTGCGTCCCTCACAACTCCAAGGCCAGCATTCGACTGGTCAATACCCTCCCTCCAGTCTCTTCTCGACCTCTTCCCTCCATTCCTACTTGCCGTCCCAAAGAAGAAGACTTCTCATTCCAGAAAGGCTATGCGCTCCGCGAACAAGGGATTGAAGGATAAACACAGTACGCCATCTCCCCGTTTCCCCTCCTCGCGTCACTCATATTTCTTGTCAGACATCGTTAATTGCCCCGGCTGCGGCGCGCCCAAACTGTCCCACCATCTTTGTGCAAATTGCTACTCGTATCTCAACCGGACATGGAAGGCGAAGAACAAGACAGATATCCCAGACTTGTCATAGCATCCTAGCGGTGCGTCGACCAGTGTATTCGACACGGCTATCCCTCAATTGGTTTCTCCCCATGTGTAGACTTCCCGTTACCACTCGCATCTCCTGTGGGCCCCCTGCGTGGTCGGGGTTCGCTGGAGTCCCCATTGAATATCGTCCCTTTGCATTGTACATATTTAATTCTAAATACTCACGGTTTTGCTCACAAGAACGCGTAAAGTGGAGTGCATTACCAAGAAAACATAAGTTTCCGTTATCGAGGTTGCGTGCCATTGAGCGTCTGGCCTTGCTGGTCCAACTCCGCGGTACGGATCTTCATTCTTCCGGCTATTGCTCTCATCAGATCCTTTATGTGTGAATTTCGACAATGATGTCGCTAACCTTCAAATAGCCACCACTAAAGCCCTTCTTACTCTTCTACTCTTTCACATCCCCCATCCGCTACAATGCTATCACTACCTACTCGGTCTGTCTTCAGGACTATGGGTACTCATATAACCCGCGCCGCAAGCACACACGCTCGCCCCCAGGGCCTGTCTAACATTCTCCAGAAGAACTCTGACGACGTTGTTATAACCTTTGCAAAGCGAACCGCTGTTGGAAGGGCGAAGAAGGGACAATGGAAGGATACCTCTGTCGATGAACTGCTCTATGCTCTCTTCAAGGTATATCCGTGCCGCTTTAACTGTTAACCGCCATCCGGTTGACTACATCGTTGCAGGGTACCCTTGAGAAGACTAAGCTGGATCCCCACAAGATTGATGATATCTGTGTCGGTGAGGACTGGCTTAAGGGCATCTTCGTAAGCTATCTTCTGAACGTTGTGTCTAGCTGTATGCCACCCGCCTTCGCCGTTGTACATTTCCCGGGCAGCTGCTCTTGCTGCCGGCATTCCGTATACGGTCCCTATATCTACCGTCAACCGTCTCTGCTCCTCGGGTTTAATGGCTATTCGCTCGATTGCCCATGCCATTCAATCGGGTGAAACGTCGCTTGGCTGGGCTGTTGGTGCCGAAAGCATGAGCCTCAAGTATGTGGCTCCCTACGTCCCAGTAGCTTCTGTGTACCAATCTCTGTATTCGCAGTCCCCGACCAACTCCCGAAGTGGCGGAAGTTGTGAGCAACCACCAACACGCTAATGATTCTATTCAGGTGAGCTCCAGCTACGATTCTGACACAACTATAGCTGAACATGACGATTATAGGCCATGGGTTGGACATCGGAGAATGTCGCCAAGGAGTACAACGTTTCGCGGGAGAAACAGGACTACTATGCTCTGATATCACACACGAGAGCTACCGAGGCCGTCAGGAACGGTATTTTCGCCGACGAGATCCTCCCCATTGAAGTCAAAGGGAAAAACATCTCTGTTGACGACACCATTCGGCCTGGTGTAACTGCCGAAGGTCTTGCGGCGCTTAAGTCTGCGTTCCCCCAATGGGCACCAGGGACTACCACTGCAGGAAATGCGAGTGGTGTCGGTGACGGTGCAGGCTTAATTATGATGACAACCAGAGAGCGGGCAGAAAAGGAAGGCATGGAAATCCTTGGCAAGTGGGTTGGCACTACTGTCGTTGGTAAGATGAATGTTGTTGCAGTTCGGGTCGGAGCTCACATTGTCCCCAGGTGTTGAGCCCCGATACATGGGTATTTCGCCTGCCTTTGCTGTACCCAAGATGTTGGAACAGGTTGGTTTGAAAAAGGAGGATGTTGACATTTACGAGGTGGGTGATAAATGAATGGAGACTGTACATTGGAGCTCAATACTCCCACAAGATCAACGAGGCATTCGCGTCCCAGTTCGCCTACTGCGTCGACCAACTCGCGATTCCCATCGAGAAGATTAACCCCAAGTAAGTACAATCTCTGAGTGAGGAGACGCGTCTAATTTTGTTCGTGTAGCGGTGGCTCAATCGCAATTTCTCATCCAATTGGACTGAGTGAGTATTTTGTCGTCGCATTGGTAAGAGGTTAATTATTGGATTCAATAACAGCTGGTGTCCGCCAAGTCATGACTGGTCTTGAGGAACTCAGAAGACGAAACGAGAAGGTTCTGTTGACAAGCATGTGTGTCGGAAGTGGAATGGGAGCAGCAGGTGTATTCGTAAATGAACGTGTTCATTGAGCAGGTAATACAGTGGACAGTCGAGGGTATATATGAGTAGAAAATGGCACCTAGGGATGAGTTGGAAGTCAGTTTACTTGTGGTATTCAAAATCCCAATGAGATACAAGAATGGAATCAGACAGTCATTTATGTCAGTGAGATGCCAGGACGAGTCCAAGCATATCAAGTCGACTAAGAGGTGCCAAAAGTGGTTGAAATACAACACTCGTCATGTGAAGGAAAAAGGAAGCGAGATATTAAGAGGGAAAATTAGACGCGAATGCTCACCTTGAAAAGATGTTTGTCAAAGAAGGGAAGCGCAGCTAGCATATATACTACCGATGTGATCACGTGTTGCGGCAAAGCGCGAGATACTGTGCAGGTTTTTCAGCCACCCAAGTCGAATTATGTGATCGCTGTCCCCGATCTCGACAACCGCCTCAGCAAGTTCAAGGTATTTATCGCCCCTGCTATATCGTCGGCCCACATCTTAGTGTCATTCTATCTTGCAGTCCCTCAAAATGTCCGCCCAAATCAGCAAGAAGCGCAAGTTTGTCGCCGATGGTGTTTTCCGTGCCGAATTGAACGAGTTCTTCATGCGTGAACTTGCAGAGGAGGGTTACTCTGGCTGCGATGTCCGTGTTACCCACGCCCGCACAGAGGTACCTATTTCCGCGATCTTGTGGCCGAGAAACGAATTTTGAAGCAAATGACATATAGATCATCATTCGTGCCACCCACACTCAGGAAGTCCTCGGCGAGAAGGGTCGTCGTATCCGTGAACTCACCGCCCTCGTCCAAAAGCGTTTCAAATTCCCCGAAAACTCTCTCGAACTTTACGCCGAAAAGGTCCAATACCGTGGGCTCTCCGCCGTCGCACAGTGCGAGTCCCTTCGCTATAAGCTCCTCGGAGGCCTTGCCGTCCGCCGGTGCGTCAATCAGATCCTGACGTTGTTTCTGCCTCCTAAATCGAATCATCTTTAACCAGTGCTTGCTATGGTGTCCTCCGATTCGTCATGGAGTCTGGCGCTAAGGGTTGCGAGGTTGTCGTTTCTGGCAAACTTCGTGCTGCCCGTGCAAAATCCATGAAGTTCACCGATGGCTTCATGATCCACTCCGGTCAACCCTCTCGTGACTTTGTCGACTACGCCGTCCGTCACGTACTCCTGAGGCAAGGTGTCCTTGGTATCAAAGTGAAAATGTATGTGGCTTTCGCCTTAATCTGTATGACAATATAAGTAACGTCATTTCCAGCATGAAGGGCTACGATCCTGAAGGCCAACTTGGACCCAAGAAGCCTCTTCCCGACTCCGTCCAGATCTTCGAACCTCCAGTTGACAAGATTGTCTCCGAGCCTTCGTCAGAGCAGCGCGAACCCATTCCTGTGGCAGTTGCTCCTGCCACTACCGAGGAGCCTTATGCTCAGGATGCCGGCTTCCAGCAGCCAGAAGCATTTGCTGAGCAGCCCGTATTCTGATTTTCTTATCGCTTTGTCTTTAGTCCACAACAGGATATATTTACGCAGTCTTGTTCAGCCATACACGGAAAGACAGTCCAAGCAGGAGAGAGAAGCGTAAGTAATACGAGATAAAAATAAGTAAGAAAGGAACGAAGAGTCCTGTCAAAATTCTTGGCGAACACTGCTTCCTGCTAAGCCGCCAGTGGGCAGTGATATAACAAAGCTCTTTGGTCGGTGGGGACCCCATTG